CTGCCACCCACACGACTGACCAGGGCCGGGGACAAACTGCAACCAAGGTACGTGCCCTTAGTGGGAACCGAACCCGGGTCTCTCTGGACCGCAGGCCGACGCTCTCACCGCTGAGCCAAACCAGCCAGGGCGATTTCAGCTTTCTTGTTCATGTTGACATGTTACTTTCATCAGCAAGTGTAGCCTTTAGATGTAAGTCTATTTTAGCCAAGAGTTTCTGGATCTGTACCTGATTTTTTTTTTTTTTTCAATCCTCACCGAGGATATTTTTCTATTTATCTTCAGACAGAGTGGGAGGGAAAGAGAGGGAGGGAGGGAGGGAGAGAGGGAGAGAGAAACATTGATGTGAGAGGGACACATTGACTGGCTGCCTTCTGCATGACCCCAACCTGGGCCAGGGATGAATTGCAACCACTGCGACCGAAGTCTGTGCCCTTGACCAGAATGGAACCTGCGACTCATGGTCCACAGGCCGACGCTCTAACCCCTGAGCCAAACCAGCCAGGGCTGTTGCTGATTTCTAAGGTGGGAGTTAAATATCTAATATCTAAGGCTGGGAGTCTCAAGCAGAAGTTCTGACCCAGGGTTCCTCTGGATGTGGTGCCTCATTGAACCTATTGCTTTCTGTTGTTTTTTCTTCGGAGGGCATGCAAGTCACTGTCATTTAGCATTTTTAGTTGTTCATTCATTCAATAAATACTTGATGAGTACCTGTTATGCGCCAGGTTCTCTGATGCTTGGGATACCTTGAGGGAGGGGGCATAGACAACGTTGTAAGCTATATTGCTTGAGTTTGAAATACATTTGAAAAATATTTATTTCAAATAATATTAACTGACGTTATGAGTGCTCATTACATGCCAGGTGCTGTGCTCTGTGCCTTGTTTCAGGAGAAACAGTTCAAAGCATACTGAGATTTTTAGTGCAGAAGATATAAAGATGAATGAATCAAAGTCTGCACCTTTGAGGAGTTTACAGTCTATCAGAAGCCTCTGTTACATAATAATTATCCATAAAACTTGTATTTTAATTGAGCATATGATTAGAATCCCTTTTGGGCACAATTCTGAGGATCAACAAAATTTGCAAACTAGGCCTATCTTTATTCTTTATGGGAGACGGGGTTATCACAATTAATGTCAGATGATAGTAGGTAGGTTTCCTGAATGCTCTCTCTCAATCAAGTGGTTACAATAGAGCAGAGTTTCTCAACCTCAGCCACATGATTCCTGTTCTGAGGGCTTCCTGTGCATTGTAGGATGTTTAGCAGCATTCCTGACCTCTACCCTCTGATGTCAGTAATATCTCTATACTTGTGAAAACCAGAATGTTGCTATGCACTGCCAAATGTCCTCTGGGAAGCACTCTCTGTCCACCCTCCCACCCCCACCACCATTTTGAGTCTCTGCCTAGGCATTAGTCTCCCACGACAACCGTGAGCTCCTTCCAGAGGCAGATGCAACTACAGCATCACCCAGAGCTAAGCTTGTGCATCAGCTCACGCGGTTCCTAAAAATAAGAAACATTTCAGCTCTTCACACATTGTACTGGGAATGCTTACATTTTACTGTGATGCCATCTCTAGAGAAACTACTAAGTGCTGTCAACAGTGGGGATAATGATCTCGGTCTGCTTTTTAGGGCTGGAATAATAACAGAAATTACAACCTTTATTTATTAATAATATATAATATATTAAAATATATGTAATGTATATATGTTTTGAATATATAAATATAAATAACTTAAAAAATATATATATACACACACACACACACATATACACATACATATTCTGTGATCCCACCACCCAGTTGAGAACTAAATAGATTCTTACCAGTACCATTTTAAAAAATAATGTCTTGCCCTGGCCAGTTTGGCTCAGCGGTTAAAGCGTCGGCCTGCGGTCCGGAGAGACCCGGGTTCGGTTCCCGCTAAGGGCACGTACTGCGGTTGCAATTTGTCCCCGGCCCTGGTTGGTCGTGTGGGTGGCAGCCACTCGATGTGTCCCTTCACGTCGATGTTTCTCTCTCTCTCTCCCTTCCTCTCTCTCCCTCCCACTCTAGCTGTACAAAAAATGGAAAAATATCCTCGGGTGAGGATAAAATAAATAAATAAATAAATAAATAAAATAATGTCTTTATTTAATTTTTTATTTTTTATTTTTTATTTTTTTAGAGAAAGGAAGGGAGAGAGAGAGAGAAACATCAGTGAGAGAGAGAAACATCAGGGTGAGAGAGACACATCAGTCAGTTGCCTCCTGCACGCCCCCCACTTAGGATCGAGCCTACAACCCAGGCATGTGCCCTGACCGGGAATCCAACCAGGACCTCTCAGTCCATGGGATGACGTTCAGTCCTCAGAGCCACACCAACTGGGCTCTTACCAGTACCTTTAAAGCCCTCTGTGTGTTCTATAATCTAACATTTCTCCTGTCCATGTAGGAAACCACTATTCGGAATTTTCATTTTTTTTTTTTATTCTCACCCGAGGACATTTTTTTCCATTTTTTGTTTAGATAAAGTGGGAGGGAGGGAGGGAGAGAGAGAGAGAGAGAGAGAAACATCGATGTAAAAGGGACACATCGAGTGGTCGCCACCCGCACGACCCAACCAGGGCCGGGGACAAACTGCAACCGAGGTACGTGCCCTTAGCGGGAACCGAACCCGGGTCTCTCTGGACCGCAGGCCGACGCTCTAACTGCTGAGCCAAACAAACCGGCCAGGGCTTGTTTTTATTTTTATTTTGTTTCCTTTATTGCACACAGCCCTAAATATTATAAAGGTTAGTTTTGTGTGTTTTAAGACCTTATTATATAAATGTAGTGCACCTTACGTATTTTTGACTTGCATTTTTCTCCGTCCCACATGTGTTGTATGAACTTTCCATGTTGATGTGTGTCACTATACTTCATTTTTTTCCACTGCTGTGTAATAGTCAATTATCTGACTGCATCACAGTGTAGCCATTCTCCTGTTTATGAATATTTGAGTTGTTTCCACTTGTTTTTGTTACCATAAACCATGTTGCTGTGAATATTCTTACACTTGTTATCTGGTGTTCATGTCCAAGAGCTTCTGTAGGGAATTACCTAGGAGTGGATTACTAGATTGTAGTCTATAGTAATAGGCTGACCAATGGCCCCTAATCAGGTTCTAATCCTTGAAAGCTGCAAATATTATCTTATATGGAAAGAGGATTTTTGCAGATGTGGTTAGATTAAGGATTTGGGGCTGGGGAGATTATCCTAGATTATCAGGTGGGTCCTAAATGCAATTGCAAGTGTCCTTAATAGAGGAGAGGCAGAGGGAGATTTCACGAAGTATAAAAGGAGGAGGCTCACAGAGGCAGAGATTGAAGTGATGTTGTCACAGCTAGGGAATACCAACAATTACCCAAAGGTGGAAGAGCCAAGACATGGATTCTCTCCTAGATCCTGTGGAGGGAGTATGGCCCCACCAGCACCTTGAATTTGACCCAGTGATACTGAGTTTGGATTTCTGGTTTCCAGAACTGTGAGAAAATTAATGTGTGTTGTTGTAAGCCACTAAGTCTGGTGATTTGTTACAGTGGCCCCAGGAAACTAGGACAATGTATCTTTAATTTAACTGGACAATGCCAATTGTTTTCTATTTTATGTTTTCACCAGAAGTGTCTAAGAATTTCTGTTGTTTCATATTCTTTTCAGCATTTGGTACTTTTGCATTTTATCAATAAGATGTTTTATTAAGCAGTTCTATAAACCCTAATGCAAATTTTGAAAAATTGATTGAGTTCAGAATGTAAAGAAAAAAAAATTGAGCATACTAATAAGAAGTTGAAAATGTTGATATTGAGTACTGTAAAATGCAATTCAGAGGTTTAGTTAGATTTATAAGTATGCTGTAGATAATGTGTTAGTATATCATTATTTCTCTTGCCTCATCTCCCAACCATGAAACTTAATATTTTCTGCACACACTTCTCTAGAAAATAATCCTGTGATTCTTTGGTACACACTACATGAATTGGCATGCTCTTTAGTTTCTGTTTGGTTTATTTATATTTTTAGTCTATCCCATCTTACAAAATCTTTTTGGCTAAACATAGATTGGTAAAATAGTATTTTGGCGGGGAGGAGCAGTAACTAAACCTGTCTGCTCAGTAAGATAGTGTATTTGTGCATACATTTTGAAGGAACAGATGTTAGTCATCAACCCCAGAAAACATGTTACATCCTTGTCTCATGAAGTATATTATTTGATGATAAACATATTGTTCATACTAACAATAATTATACCTTAGAGGTGAATTGCACTTGGCACTTAACAAAATAACTTAAAAATATATTTTCTCATTTGATTAATTTTGTTTCTTGTTGTGTTTCTTAAGAGCAAGCATTTAAACAAATATATTTGCTTACTAAGGAAACTGGGTTAATAATACTGGCTTACCTCGTTTTATTGTGCTGCACAGTTGTTGCATTTTTGTTTTGTTTTGTTTTAATTCTTGCCCAAGGATGTTCTATTTATCTTCAGATAGAGTGGGAGGGAGGGAGAGAGAAAGAGAGAGAGGGAGAGAAACATCAATGTGAGAGACACATCAATGTGAGAGACACATCAACTGGTTGCCTCCCACACGACCCCCATCAGGGCCGGGGACGAAATGCAACCAAGGTGCATGCCCTTGACCAGAATTGAACCCGCAACTCATTGTTCACAGGTTGACGCTCTAACTGCTGAGCCAAACTGACCAGGGCAGTTGTTGCATTTTTTACAAATTGAAAGCAAGACCCTCCACCAGATATAATTGACATAAATCACTGTATATGTTTAAGGTGTGTACATCATGAAGATATGACTTACTTATATTATGAAATGATTACCACTGAAGTTTAGTTAACATTCATCCTCTCATATAGATGCAATAAAAAGAGAAAAGGAAAAAAAAGCTTTTTTTTTTTCCTTCTGAGGAGAACTCTTAGGATTTACTTTCTTTATTTTCATATGCATCACACTGCAGTGTTAACTGTGGTCACCATGCTGTATGTTACATCTCCACTACCTGTTTCTCTCGGACCTAGAAGTTGAACACCTTTCTCCTGTTCTTCCCCTTGCTCTGCTTCTGGTAACCACACATCTGATATTTTCTGACCCCTCCTCTTTTTTTAAAGATTGCATATATAAGTGAGATCATACAGTATTTGTCTTTATCTCTCTGACTTATTTCACTTAGCATAATACCATCAACGTTCATCCATGTTGTTTAATATAGCAGGATTTCTTCTCTCTCTCTCTTTTTTGATGGATAAATAACATTCCTGTGTGTGTATGTGTGACAACTTCCTTATCCATTTATCTGTCAGTGGACACTTAGGTTGTTTCCATGTCTTGTGTGTGTGTGTGTGTGTGTGTGTGTGTGTGTGTGTGTGACAACTTCTTTAACCATTTATCTGGCAATGGACACTTAGGTTGTTTCCATGTCTTGGCTATTGTGAATAATGCTGATATGAACATGAAGGTGCAGAATTTTTTTCTTTTTTTTTCTTTCTTTGTTCCGTTTGGATAAATTCCCAGAATTGGAATTGCTGCATCATATGGTAGTTCTATTTTTACTGTTTGAGGATTCTCCATAGTGTTTTTCATAGTGGCTGTACCAGTTTACAATTCCACCAACAATGCACAAGGGTTCTCTTTTCTCTACATCCTTCCTTCCCATAAGCTGTGGATTTAAACTATTTGATGTTCCTGTTCATTGCGGTCATTGTCCTTTTGATTTGGCAAAATCATTGTTTCTCAAAATGGACAAATATTTTCTAAAGAAAATGTACAAATGACCAAAAGGTGGAAACAACTCCAATGTCCATCAACTGATGAATAGAAAAGTAGGATGTGTTATATTCAGACAATGGAATGTTTTTCAACAATAAGGAAAGAGCCCTAGTTTGGCTCAGCGGTTAGAGCACTGGCCTCCGGACCAAAGAGTCACAGGTTCAATTCCGGCCAAGGGCACATACCTCAGTTGCAGTTTGGTCCCCAGCCCTGGTTGGGGTCATGTGGGAGGCAACCAGTTGATGTGTCTCTCTCACATCAATTTTTCTCTCTCTCTCCCTCCCTCCTACTCTATCTGAAGATAAAATGGAGAAATATCCTCAGGTGAGGATTTTTAAAAAAATGAAGTACTGATACATGCCACAACATCGGTGAATCTTGAAAACATTATGCTAAGTGAAAGAGGGCAGTTATGAAAGACCACATATAGTATGATTCTATTTCTATTAAATGTTAAGAATTGGTAAATCTGTAGACAGATTAGTGATTGCCTAGGGCTGAGAGATTTGGGGAGCAAAGGGAAGTGACTGCTAATGGGTACAGAGTGTCTTTTGGAGGTGATGAAAGCATTCTAAAATTGTGGTAAGTGCCCTGGTTTGGCTCAGCGGTTAGAGCATTGGCCCGTGGACCAGAGTCCCAGGTTCAGTTCCCGCTAAGGGCACCTACATTGGTTGCAGTTTGTCCCTGGCCCCGGTTGGAGTTGTGTGGGTGGCAGCCACTCAGTGCGTCTCTCTCACATTGATGTTTCTCTCTCTCTCTTCCTCCCTCTCTCCCTCCCACTCTATCTGAAGATAAATGCAAAAATGTTCTCGGGTGAGGATAAAAATAAATAAAATAAAATTGTGGTAAGTGATTGCCCAACTCTATACTATACTAAAAGCCATTGAATTGTTGAATGAATTTTATGATATGTCAATTACATTACAATAAGAATTTTATAAAAGTTATATTAGTTTTTGAAAGGGATTACCGAGAATCACCCAGGGCGCATGCTTAAGATGCAGATTCAGGGCACATCCCAGACCTCTTGAAACAGTCTGTATAAGTAGATCCCAAGAATTTTTTTTTTTTTAAGTAAATACATCCAGGAATTTGGATATACACTGAATTATCACAGTTCCTTACTGTGCTGTGCATCCCAGTACCTTTCTATTTTGGCTGCTTCTGGAGCAGTAGAGAATGTCTTCCTTTTCCACATGGCAGCCCTCAGTCTTATGAAGGCAGCCCCCCCTTCCCACTCATCTCTTTTCTAGGCCACGCATCCTCAGTTTCTTAGCCATTTCTCATGTGACATAATTGCTAGATTAGTCAAATCACCCTCTCCTGGACACACTCTAGTCTGTTAATGACATCTGAAAATGAGGTACTCTGAACTGAACAGGATATTCCAGTTATAGTTTGACCATTGCAGAATATAAATGGGATTATTACCTTCCTTGCTACTGACACTGGAATTCTACTAATGCATTTTAAAATTGCATTAGCATTTTTCGAAGAGTGTTGGCTCAAAAGAAGCATGTGTTAAATTAAAATCTCCTTTACTCCACCCCCACCCCTTCAGCTTTTATCTAGTCAAGTCTTCCTTCTTGTAGGGTTATCTGGAAAAATTCCTTTCTTGGTGGAAATCTGCTCTAAAATAAGGAATGTCCTAACAATTGTTTAGCGGTTTCCACTTTTTCAGAGCATTCCCTGTGCATTATTTCCTTTGATCTTAACAACTATGTAAAATGGAAACAGGTGTTACCCTCTGCTTAGAGATGTATAATTTTTTCCCAATTAAAATGTTTTAAAATTATAGTTGACATACAATATTATATTAGTTTCAGGTGTGCAATATAGTGATTAGACATTTATATGCATTACAAAGGCTCACCCTGAGAAGTCTAGTAACCATCTGACACCATACATACTTCTTAAAATATTACTGACCATATTCCCTATGCTGTATGTTACATCTCCATGACTGTTTTTATAATTGGCAATTTGTACTTAATCCCTTCCCCCTTTTTACCCATCTCTCCAGCCCCCATTAATATTGTTAAAAGCTCTCAAAGCAATTCTAATATTCAACCAGGCTGAGACCAACGGCCTTAACTCATATTCTCGTGTCCCCTCCTTCTATCACAGTATATTCTTCATTGAATTAAAAGGCTGTTATATGGAAGAGGAGGAATATTTTCCATTGCTCCAGAAGGCAAAAGTATAATCAATTCAAGCGAGAGAAGGTTACTCAGATGTACAGTGGGAACCAGATGTACGTCCTAAGATAATTATTCTTGTAATTTATATATCTTCTCATTAATTTATCAAACATTTATGTGGCCAGACACTGAGCTAAGCTCTGCTGATACAAATACGAATAAGATATGGTTTCCCCCTTTAAGGACTCACAGTTTAAATAGGGGACAGACTAGATAAACACCATTATAATTGAGTGTGGTAAGTGTTACACATATATTGGACTTGTATAATTTCTTTTTTTAATTTGTTACATTTTTTATTTTAAAACTGTCAACAGTGATTTTCTTTCTAAAACATATTTATGCTAATATATCACAGTATGGTAGTCATTATATTAAGATATGTAATTCAAGTACTTAACAGATAAAGTTAGTCATTTTGGAGATATCTTTTTTCTTTACTCCTAATAAAATTTATAATAGTATTTAAACCATTTTGAGGAGTTCATTCCTATATCTTTCTCCATAATTTATTCTGTTGATTATAAGCATAAGAAGATAATCTGTATTGGTTCTGTCAAGATTTTATGTTGGTGAAAAAATGACTTCACAACATGAGAAATTTTTAGATATGAATTTGATGCCTTGGGCCAACTTTCAAGAGCCATTCTGTACACCACTCACTACATTTCCTTAATGTACATCATTGATCAAAAATTAATCATCGATACATTCCTATTGAATTGCAGGCATTTTTTCTTAGAGTTTGTGGCTGATCTGCTCATAGAGGTATGTGCTAGATACTATGGAAACATGGAGAAGCTAATTCTGGAAAGGGGAAGAGAGGAAAAGAGAGGAAATCGGAGTTTCTCAAAGTATGTGGCAGAGCTGAGTTTTGAAAGATAGGTAGGATTTAGACTGAGTAAGGGGGGCCATGACAAAAGATGAAAATTAGAGGCCAGGACAAGATGGAACTTTCTTGCAAAAAAGAACCTAAACAATGATTTCTTTCTTTTTTTTTTTTATCCTCACCCGAGGACATTTTTCCATTTTTTGTTCAGATAGAGTGGGAGGGAGGGAGAGGAAGAGAGAGGGAGAGAGAAACATCGATGTGAAAGGGACACATCGAGTTGCTGCCACCCGCGCGACCAACCAAGGCTGGGGACAAACTGCAACCGAGATAACGCGCCCTTAGTGGGAACCGAACCTGGGTCTCTCTGGACCGCAGGCTGATGCTCTAACCGCTGAGCCAAACCAGCCAGGGCAACAATAATTTCTTATATTGCATCCTCACAGTTCTAGCAAGCCTGCTATCAATAACACTTGTATGAAGATCTGCGAAAAATCACCTTGTGTTGGAAAAAAGGTCGGCAGGGCTGAGCCAAAGCTAAATAATCTGGTAATAATTCAGGGTCCATTCCTAATTTGGGTACCAATTTATGAGCTAAAATTTATGAATTAAAGCGTGAAACTTAATCCTAGTTATCAGTTCAGTTAAAGACCCTTTTAAAAAAGATGTTGAAAGAGCATTTGAATGAACATATATTTCCAAGCTTGGATAAGGTCATGTAACTTCAGGGTCTAATTTAATTGACAAGTGATCCACTCTTGATATAGGCTTTTGTATTAGAGATAGAATTCCACCCTTCCATTCACAATTCATTTACTTGGCTCACATGAGATCTTTCTGATCTTCTTTGAACTACCATATGCAATTCAATTTGGCCATGATTGGCATCTTTATAATGTGAAAAATGGTAGGAAGGTCTGTAGAAGGGTTTAAAAATCCACTCCAACATTTGAGAAGGTTTCATTATTCTACATCCTTTACTGAAAAGTTTTGTGTTAGGGCTGCAAGTCTGGCCAGTTGATCTGCTTTGAAATGATCCAGGTATAAATGCCTTTTATGCTGTCAGGTTCATATAATGAATTGAATCGGTTAATGTACTATACTAGAGAGTAAAGTAATATAATTCATCTATTTGGAGCTTGAATGATCCTGAGTTTTAAATGTCATTTATTCTTAGAGAGTGAAAGGTTTTCTTGTTCATTGATAGTTCTCACCATT